TGAGTTTTTCTATTTCTGCAAAAAACTTCATTGGGGTTTTGATAGGGATTGCACTGACTCAGTAGATCTCTCTGGGTAGTATTTACATCTTAATAGTATGTCTTCCAATCCATGAATCCATTAGAGTCTGTTGAACTGCAAGGAGATCAACCCAGTCACTCCTAAAGGAAATCAACCCTGAATATTCATTAGAAGGGCTGATACTGAAGGTGAAGCTCCAATACTTTGACCACCTGATGCAAAGAGTCAACTCATTCAGAAAGATCTTGATGCTGGGAAAGACTGAGGACAGGAGAAGGGGGCAACAGAGGATGAGATGGTTAGATGGCATCACTACCTCAATGGACATGAGTTTGAGCAAACTCCAGGAGATAGTGAAGGACAGGGAAGCCTGGCATACTGCATTCCATGGGGTTGCAATGAGTTGGACACGACTTAGAGACTGAACAACAATCCATTAACATGGTATGTCAGTTTGTTTATTTATGTCCTAATTTCTCAGCAATGTTTTGTAGCTTTCAGTGTACAAGTCTTTTGCCTTCTTGGTAAAGTTTATTTCTAAGTATTTTGTTCTTTTTTGATCCTGTTGTGAACAGAATTACTTTCCTAATCTACTTTTTAGACTGTTCATTGTCAGTGTATAGAAAAGCAACTAATTTTTTTGTGTTGATTTTGTATCCTGAAGCTTTCCTGAATTTATTTATTAGTGTTTTTTGGTGGGCTAGTTTGATTTCTTAGACACATTTTTAAAAAAGGTGTTACTGCAGGATAAACTCATCACTACCTCGTTCAAGTTTATACTTTTCTTTGATAAGGTATCCCTAAAAGGAGGCAAATCTTTGAGAAGAAACACCAGTGCCAAGGAAATCAACATATGCAACCTAAGAATTCTGGCCCAAATACCATGACCAAAGATCCCGTCCCAGGTATGCAGAATATCTAATTATTAAGCTTGTAAAAGTCAACTCCTAAATATATACAAAAACTATGAATCCTACCTGTTAAAAAAAAAAAACCTCTCAAACTTACTGAGTAATCTTTAAGGTTTGACTTCCAGGCTAATATTGAATGATATTTAATGAAGATTTCTATCAAGAGGCCACATATACATACTTTTCATTTCAATAAGCATTGAGTGATGGGGGGTGATATTTAGAATTTAAACCCTGGAATTTGACAGCTCTAGATTAGAATTCTGGTTCTCTCACCAATTAGTTGCATTGGTACTTCTCAACACCATTTTTGTTCTGCTTTAGACCATAACATCTGCCCCACTGACAGTGAGAGTGTGAGAGTTAAATGAGATAACTGGATTCAATAAGTGTTGGTTATTATGACTGTAAGTAGACTACATGTTGTCACTATGCAAGATACTGGGAATAAAGACATATGACACAACATCTGCCATCAAGGTGCTGACAGTCTAGATGGGAGAAGTATGAAGAGAATCAATCTCAATATTATACTACACTAAAAACATGTGCAAAGCAATGAAAGCTTGAAACAAAGTGGTATGATGGTCACAAATGTAAGGCTGTCATGCTCAGATATGAAATTTAGGTTCTAAAGGATGGACTGGAGCAAGTGACTCAAAAGCCAGCCCAATAAGGACGCTATGATAATCTAGGCAAACTCTGTGTGGCAGAGCAAAAATACAGCTTGAACGGGAGGGTGACAGTGTAGGATGGGGCCTTGCTGTACCTAGAACCATAAGCTCCTTTCTGCCATGGCTTGGGAGATAACACACTTTATAATAATCTTTCATCTTCACCTTAATAATTTAGAGGGTTCTAAGGGACCCTGTTTGACTCAGAGACCATTTACAGGGGAGGAGACAGGCTCAGAGAGCAAGGCCATCATTATACTAATATAGGGGCACTAGTTACATTATACTCTATGAAAATGGCAACCATTGGAACACAACAAATATGAATGGTCACCCCTAGAGCTGTGCATTACAGCAGTCTTACTGAAAAGATAACATATACCATAGCAGGCAATGGAACTGACCTCCATCTAAAAACCTGTACATCTTCTACTATCCCATACTATCCCATAGGTCTTTATCGTAATATTTCATTTGTGGATATAAAACACACTTAGGATTAAACACTGAGTTGAAACAAAGAAACAAATCAAACACATCCCAATGTGGGTTTTCACAAGAACCTGGTAGGCTTATTAAAATTAATTTAATGGAATCCCATAAACACTAGTTACTTAACAACAAATCAAGATGCTTGATGTATTCTTAAGCCATTACTTAACAGGGGTAAAACAAATATAAGGTTCCAACTGTTTACTTTGGGCTTCCCCAAAACAGATAAATAAGGACCTTTATAAAAACTGTAAGGACTAACCACAAAAACCAAAATTATCAATCAACTCTCTGCAGACATTTCTTGAATTATCCCAAAATTTTAAGGTGAATTTCCCCAGAAAATTCTATAGTTATCTTGTCAGTAAACACATAAACTTAGTAAAAAGTAAATGCTGAATAACTACTTCATATATTTAAAAAAAACTATATAATTCATATTTATGCCAAGAACACTACAATTTACAGGAGTTCCATCAACATTCTTACCTATACCTACTCACTCTGAAGGCAGGAACATTTCTTTGGGTTGAGTCAGGATCTCAGTATGCTTTGTCCAGGAAAAGTGAAGGTATGAAAATATAAAACAAAAAGAATATTGGCTCATTACACATGAGAGGCCAGCCATTAAGAGTTGTTGTCAACAGGATGAAAGGAAATACTGAGGAGAGCTCCTCTGGGTGAGTAGTTAAAATGTGATCAAAATGTAAAAGAGGAAGTATATATATAAAAAAAACTTCTATGGGTATTGATACAAAGACAACTCTGAAAAGATGATAAAACACCTACTTGAGGATTTTCAGAAATGAGATTCACAGAACTATAGCAACATAAGAAATACTAATTCAGAAACATCTCATTTGACTGCTGATGAATTTCAAAGTTGTTAGGTTAGGGAATCTGCCCAAGGTCATATGGTTAATGCCACAGTTTGGACTAGGACCTAATTCTCCTGAATTCCAAATGAGACCTCCCCACCCCCCAACCATTTGCTATACTACCCATCTCTTCTGTGTTCTTAACCACTTGAAATCCCTTTAATTCTCTTTGCCCCCACAATGTACCCTTTAGGGAAAGTCAAAAGAACAGCGTTCTGGACTATGGAGACCATGTAGACCTGCTGATCTAACAATGTAGGAAGCAGTATATAAAAAAATGACTAGACTGCAATTCATTTTGGGGTGAGGAGCAGAGAGGAAATACAAAAGGAGGAAATTCTATAGACAACAAAAAGAGAAGCACAAGAGGAAGTATTATCCTCTTTTGTTATTTTATTACTGTTATTTTATTTTGTAGTTAAGTCCATATATTATATAAAACATAACAGGAAAAAGCAACAAATGTATAAAATAAATTGAGGTGTCTGGATGGAAAAAAACACAAGAGCTTTGCCTTCGTGTCTATAGATCTCTTGATATATTGTTGGTCTTGCACTAGAGATATCAAATAAAGATATCTAGCTTGAAACAAGATTTGATATGCTGCAAGGTTAAGCCATAGTTTGATGATGGGTCATGACAGATTTTCTAAATCTTATTCTTAAATATTGGCTCTAACAAAAGCTGATATAACAAAGCGCAAGCATTTATCATCAGACAGCAAGAGGGAAGCTTCAGTGAATGAATGCAACTTACCTCCAAGTCCTCTGAAAGGAGGTGAAAAAATAAATACTGTGTTTTATCAGTATTCCCCCAAAGCATTACCTAAGCATGCAGGAGGATGCTGTGAGCAGCTACAATAGTAAGATCCAATCCAGAGGTAGGTTCAAGGCCAAAAGTAGAGAAACGGTTGAAGAAGTCCTCCTGGGGTCAGTACCATTTCACAGAATGCGCGTTTGTGCTGGGGAATGAGTCTATGGCCTATTTTTTCTGATTCGAAAGAACATTCCCAACTTCAACCTTGCTGAAAAAGAGGCATTTTTGCACCTGCTATTGAGAACAGCTAGAACACAGGATAAGGCTGGCATAAAATTATTTAGCAAGCACATGCTAGCTATTCCAGTTTGAAATCTACCAAACTGTAAAATCAAAAAAATTAAAAAGTTGAAGACGGAGCTGTTGTTTCTCAAAGATGAAGAAACCATCTTACACAAAGAGGGATTAGGCTCTCACTTCACTCTATACGGAGAACATCCTTCTCAAGCTAGATGGAAGATGAGGAAGAGCATTGCTACAGGCTGACCAGGCCATTTGGAGACTGAGAGGAGAGGAAACAAGGCATTCAGAAAGAAAGCTAGTAGAAGAAATTCTTCTGGGTCTAACTAGGTAAGTGAATCTAAGGCAACTGCACCAAAGATATGCTACCCATCATGCCAGCCTGTAGCTGGTGGCAAAATATCTCAAGACATTTTAAGCCCAGAAAAATATATGAGAAATATGTTAACCAAGCAAATTAAAACCAAAACCTCCAAGGGTAAAATCTTCTCAGATTTGAAATCCAAGACCCTCACTTTTTATTAACTCTGTGCATCATTAGAAAAAATAAAAAGTAACAAATGTAAAGATTTGTTTTATTTCTACTGGGGTAAGGAGGAGGATAAATAAAACTGTTTTCCAATTTGCTCTCAACTGTATACACACATACCCACACACACACACACACACACATACACACACCTAAAATATCCCAACAAAAAACAAAAAAACCATGAATCAAAAACCAAAAGACCCTCAAAATGCACCAACACTTCATATTTTGACCAAAAGAATAGATCCTGGGAGGAAGTGCAAAATGCAAAATTAAATGACCAAAAAATGCTGAATAAACAGCATTATTAATATACAAAATATTTATATTACTGAACTAGTAACAGTTGATGTTCTCCGTGTCTGTGAAACTTTGGAACCACATAGCTGATTTGTTAAATCTAGTCCATGCCAGCTTCCAAAAATCAGAAAAGATCTTAGTTAGCTTCATTCTTTGATGCCTCATCAAAATTTTCTACAAGATCTGAAAAAAAAAAAAAGTTAATGAGTTAAATATACAAAAAAAAGTAAATGCAACCCCTATCTTCTGGCTCAACAAATACTGCTACCAGAATTAGCCTGAAAAGACACAGGACAAGAGGCGGAAACGAATTGGGGGCATTTCACTAATAATGGTTCAATTTCTGCTTAAAATAGAAACCTTAAGGAAATGTTAGTCCTTTTTTGCCTAAGCAAACTACTAAGGTGAACAGCGTTTTCATATGTCAATCATAATTCCTACAGAAATGCTATAACGTAAATTTATAATCACAGTGATTCCAATTTAATAAAGGCATATTCTAACTCAGTAAATGCAGCAGAGCTTTGTGTGATGATTTCTGATTCAACATTCTAAATGGGAGGGTTTTTTCATTAGACTGAATGCACATCATTACGAATCCATTTAAATTCATAAGCTCATAGGCTTCCCTTGTGGCTCAGATGGTAAATTCAGAAGCTCACCATCAACAAAAAACTGAAATATCATCACAATGAATTAAATGAGATAAACAGGATGCTAAAAGTCTTAAAACTAAAGAAAGGTCACTTACCTGGAACATCATCCTCCTCCTCATCAATGTCTTCTGGTTTTGGGGTTTTGCTATCCAGCACTACAAAAAGTTTACTTTAAATTAGTCACTGAGAACAAAGACCTTTATGGAACACTTACAATGTTTATCTTTTTTGCCTGTCTACATAGTTTATAGAAACAAATCTTACATAGCTGTTAAGGAGAAGTTAAATATTGTCTAATCTAAATGCCATATTTTCTATTTAATACAAAAATTAATAGAAGTTTTACTTCTTTAGATATACACTAAATATGGTTGGCAATCTCAATGTGTAGTGAAGGTACAACGTGCAAAATGGAATAATTTAGGTGAGTTTAAATAAAAACATTATAGTTAAATTTCTTCTCCAAATTCCATATTCTTCAAATAAAAAATTCAACATTCAAGATTTTTTTCTATCTCATTTGGCATAAAAGTATCGAGCTTTGTAGAATGAACACTGAAATAAAAGGCTCTGATTTTCAAGAATGATAAGACAAATTTGAAACCAGGACTATCTTGGACATTCAGAACTTACAGTTGCTGTATTTGTAGTATAATCAACAATATTAAATGAAAATACAGTTCTGTGACATCACTATCTTCTTGTTATTAGTCAGAAGTAAATACCAAATCAACTATTTATAAAATAGCCTGCAGATCCTGGTACTTTCCTTTTAGGTAATTACCTCCCAACTCTCTATATTACTACCAAATGTATCCGAAGAGTCTATAGACTGCACTGCATTAATCATTAAACTCAAAAATTTATGAAGCATATAAGTAACATTATAAAAGTAAAATTTATGAACAGGCAAATCCTTTCAGCATGAAATAGATACCTTTAAATCATTAGGTTCTTTAAGTAAGATAAGAAGGGAAAAAGGCACTAAACTGAAATACTCACCTTGCCGAGGGAACTGTTCAGCTAACTTCCTAAGACTTGTTAAGCTGTCAGCACCAAGCTGACTTAATATTCCAGGAAGCATTTCTGTGATCGGTTTGGCTTCTGCATGGCCGGTAATTGCAAAGGTGTTGGCAGAAAGGGAAGCTTGGACTTTGGGATTGTTGAAATGAATAACTGTCCCATCATCTTTAATCATGTTCACCTGTATGATCACAGAAAAAAATGTATTTCACATATTTGGTACAACTCAAAAAAATCTGTTTAAAAAACAATTAAAAACAATTCTTGTTTTTTACCTGGTAGGTGGTTTTGAAATCCCGATGTAATAATTATCTAAGCAGTGAATTTGGGTGGAAAAACACCCTAGCAACAAAGTAAAATGGTGTTTATGGCACAAATTACTAAGATGGTAAAGAAATAATCGCTTTATTATAGAATCTAGATTCTATTATTTTGTTATTATTATTGGCCGTGCCACATGGCTTGCAAGATCTTAGTTCCATGACTAGGGAATGAATCTGGGTCCAAAACAGTGAAAATGCCATGTCCTAGCTGCTGGACTGCCAGGGAATTCCCTAGAATCTAGATTTTAAATTCAAAGATTTCTACTATGAGAAGGAAGATCATGCCCAGATTTTTTAAAAAAGGGACTTATCAGCCAAGAATTGGCTTCTTAATGAAATTACCCATTACTCAATTTACACTATCAAACTAAATCCATACAGATACTACTGTATCTGTACAATAGTTAGCATCTTACTTATGGAACAGGTGGTAAGGAGATAATAATGTATCATAAAAATAACCACTGAAAACCCATAAAGAACACTCAGAAATTTAATCAATCAGGGTTTTACTCTTTTGAATACCTAGTAAATTTACAAAAGTTTCAACTTGTTTTCCTCATGTCATTCTTTGTAGGAGATTTTGTCAGTTCCTCTAATCCTTTTAAGTGAAGCTTCTCAACAACCTTCAATAACCCTTGTAAATGACAAGAAGTTCTCCCACTCAGTTGTCTAGACATCTGAACATTTATCAGTTACTAGGAAACCCTGAAAATCATCTCCATATTCTTTCAATAGCTTTCTTCAATATGAACCATTTCAGATTTAATCTCATCCATTGCCTGGGACTCACTGAAAAGGAAGGTTGAATGTATGTGCACTATGTAAAATGTTACTTTTCTCTCTCACTCTTGCTGTGTTTTAGTAGAGTCCTATGTATTATATTTGCATCTAAGCTAAATGTGTAAATAATGTGATTACACTATGCAGTTGACTTCACTGGTAAGTTACCTTGGTGGTAACATGCTTATTAAACAAAAAGATTAGGAGAGTTAATTCTTGGCTACTTTAGAAGCATTTCATGGTCCATCCAAAAACTGCCCTTGTCACAATCAAGCAGAGATGCTGCGTGTTCTCCATGTCAGTGGAAGTGGGCTTTTCTTCCTCAGAGGTGGTCACCACCACTGACACACAGCACCAGAAAGGAAGGGGAAGAAAGGGGCTTCTAAATTTCAGGCAAGACCTGGAACACAGAGAAAATAAAGGCAAGTCCCCTAGAAAACTGTGGCTAAATCCCACAAATACTATACAGAGTAAGCATACAATCCAGCTCAACAAAAATCACGAGTTAAAATTAATTTATGTTAACTTTAGAAAAAAATAAACTATGTACTTCTGAAGATAATTATTGGGTAGGTAGAAAAGCTCAATGGAAAAGTAGCTTAAAGTATGAGAGAGGAATGGCGTGAGAAGGCAGCAGTGGCATAGCAGGTGTGAAATGGGATGCTTTTCTGGATCTGTCCCAGAATCACGCAATTTTAGTATGGGAAAAGAATAAAGATATGGTAGGACTATGTTTTTCCAAATCAAGACCCATCACTTAACTTAATAAATGACTTCTATAATAGTACCAGGGGTGAAAAGTGTCTCAACTTTGGAATATGAGATATTTTTTATTTACAAACATTACAGTCACAAGAGATTTAAAATCACTATTGCTCAAGAAAAGTCAGGCCATATATTTGTTGAACTTAGAGGTCTCCTAGTTCAAATCTCTTGTTAAAGAAATAAATACTAATGATAAGAGTTCTTGGTTAAGCAATACTGTTGTTCAGTAAGCAATATACCCAAGGACAAATAACTGATTATGTGCAAACTCAGAACTTAAACCTAGGTTTCCCAACTTTATATTTAGTTTCTTTTCTGTGATGTCATTCACATTCTTAAACACCTATTTGTCTATAAAAATTCAATTGTGTGGCACCATAAAAGCTTGTTAGAGAATTATTCATCTCAGAGTACAGGTTAAGTAACAGCAGATATATGAATAATATATGCCACATCTATTCCATGTCAGATTGTAAAATAGAAATTTATTAATGGTTGTTTTAAATGAGGTTGTGTAAAAGATGTAACCTCATGAATAGAAAGGTCCAGAAACATGTGGAGAATTTAATTTTAGAGTAGATAGAATGAAATACTAGAGGTTACAAAGGCCAGAATCTTTTATTTCAGTCTAACATTCCTTCCCCTCTACTGAGCAAATAACATGGTTATATAAGGCTCCTAGATACAGGCTATTAGAACTATCAAAAGATTTAATTATTGAGCAAGCAAGATGAACAAGACACTTCCCAACTCTTTTAGAGGCAAAACGAAGGATAAGGAATTTGTTGAATTAACAAAGCAAACTGTATGCATTTCATATGAAGACCTTACTTTCTCCAGTGATTTTACTGCTGTTTGGTCTATGTTAAATCATACAACCTATATATAGTATAAGGACAAGGAACAGACAAATAAAGACTGTTAAACTAACTACCATACCAGCTCTCAGGTCCCTTTTTCAATCAATCAAGTATCCCCTTTATGTCACAGTGCTTTTTCCACTTAACAGGTAGCTGAGGTAAAGAATGCTACTTGAATTATAGAGGAAGAGGCTTTTTTTTTTTTTTTTGACCCCAGTTCAGAACTCCAGATGCCCTTGCTCTTATTTTTCACTCTAATAATACTGACATGCTTTGAAGTTACCAGAAACTACTACGTCCTCCCATGTATAGTGTATTTACATATGCTGTTTTCACTGTTTAGAAGAACATTTTCCTGCTTCTCCACATTGCAAGTTCCCATTTATCCAAGACACGGGTCAGGTGCTTCTTTCTATGTGAAAACTTAAGGTGGTTTATGTACCTTCTGACTTCATGAAAACTGATACTATACAAAATTATCTTGTAGTATAATTGTGTTTGTAATCTTTGACCTTACTAGAAGAGGAATTCCTTGAGATTAGAGGTCACTGTCTTATGAGACACAGCATTCCCTCAAGTGTCAGCACATAACAGTCACTCAAATTTGCTGAATGAATCAACACCTCTTATACAGCTTATTCTGAAATCATGGATGCTATCAGACCTCAATACCTCAAATGCTAGATGAGGGGTCATGTTAAGGTTTAGAAATAGCAACAGTAGTTCCTCCAATGGAGATTCCCAGAACCTCCGGGGCTATTTTTAGGCCTGTCTTTTCCTACTGTTCTACCCTTTCTGAGTGAGCCCAAATGCTCTACAGAATCCAGGCAACTGCTGGGTGGCCCAATTACACTATCAAAACCTTAGCAACCCCTGCCACTGCTAGCCTTTGAATAGGGTACATACATTAACCACAGCAGCCTTCCAGCTAGTGAAGCTGATGCTTTACTACACAGTGGGTAAGTTTTTGTGGCTATGAAGAAGCTTACAAAGTTATAATTGACCCCACAGCTCTTGCTGGTAACTGCCCTCTCAGTTCAGAGAGGAAATTTAAATTCTGCTATGTGATTTTTTGTGTGTGTGTCTCCAAGTCTCCATTAGGCCAGTTAGCTGCAGTTCATAATTGACAGCTGTCTTAATATCAAGTTTTATTGCTACTCCTTCTTACATGTAGTGGTACTTAAATGTTTATCAGAAAATTAATCTTCTATTGTCTTCCTGTTATATTTCAATGGAGGTGAAATAATAAACATTTTAAGAATAAGGCACATAAGTGTCTGGATTTTATAAGGCTAAAGGATGTCAGATTTTGAAGATTATGGCCTCTGCATTCCCATAAGTCAGCATCTTTCACACTGAATCCTTTAAAGCTCCTGCTTATTTCTGGCTAGTACGAGGCATAACCTATTATTATTGATAAGAGTGAAAGTTAGCAGATATCATTAGACTATATGATAACGCTGGGATCATTTTCCCTTAGGCTCTAGTGGCAAGAATCTGATGAGATGGATTCTCTGTAGCTATGTTGTAGACAGTGTAAAATGGCATACCCTTTCTGAAAATCAATTTGGCAATATGGATGAAGAGTTCTAAAAATACTAATGATCTTTCAGTCAGTAACTACATTTCTAAGAATCTGTCTGGAGGAAGTCAGAAATGAAGATAAATATTTATGTATATGTGAGTCTAATATGGGATTCTTTACTATCAAAGCATTATAATGCATAATAAATGAGAAAAAATGTTAAAATATGCTATGTTCACATATTGGAATATATACAGACACTTAGACTGATGCTTAAGAGTTTTTTACTGACCGGAAACAATTTTTATAATACTATTCAAAAATGGAAGGGTTTTAAATTGTACATCTAGCTGTAGTCTCAGATATGTTAAGTATATATGCATATAAAGATGGGAAAGAAAGACACTAATAATAATAATAATAAAGAGACAACTAATAATAATTATTTCTGAGTAATGGAGTTATGATTAAATATTAATATTTTTTATATTTTATGTATACCCCTAACTTTCTGTAAAAGTTATACTGGGGGGGAAGCTGTTTTAAAAACAAAAGATGTTTCTCAATAAACAAGTGGATAATATGTGGTATTACCCACAGAATGGAATATTATGCAGCAATAAAAGGAGTAAAGTTCTGATACACATTAAACACGCATAAATCTTGAAAACAAGCTAACTAAAGTAAGTCAGACATGAAAGGACAACTATTTTATGATTCCACTTACATGAAGTATCTGTAACAGGTAAGTACAAAGAAAAAGTAGGTTAGAAATTATCAGAGGCTGGGAGAAAGAGGAATGAGGAGTTATTACTTCTAATAGGTACAGAGTTTCTTCTTTTTTAAAAAAAAAATTTATTTAGCTGTGCCGAGTCTCCGTTGCAGCATGTGGAATCTGTAGTTGCCGCATGTGGGACCTAGTTCC